TGTCGGTATATCGAAGTGCTGAAGTGCTTGTACAGTAGGGCTACCATGGCTATCCGAGTACAGAACCAGAGTACGAAACCTATCCAATTGCAGAGAGGTGTAAGACAGGGTGATGTTATATCCCCGAAACTCTTCACCGCTGCATTAGAAGACGTTTTTAAGCTTCTGGACTGGAAAGGATACGGTATTAACATCAATGGCGAGTACATCACTCACCTTCGATTTGCCGACGATATAGTCCTTATGGCAGAATCACTGAAGGACCTAAGCACCATGCTCAATGACCTCAATAGTGTCTCATAAACGAATAGGTCTTAGGATGAACATGAACAAAACAAAGATCATGTTTAATGTCCATGTCCCACCTATGCCGGTAGTTGTTGGGAGCACTAAGGTCGAAGTTGTTGACGAGTATGTTTACCTGGGACAAAAAGTCCGACTAGGTAAGTCCAACTTCGACCGAGAGCTCAATCGACGGATTCAACTCGGCTGGGCAGCGTTCGGTAAAATACGACACATCTTCTCGTCAGACATTCCTCAAAACCTTAAAACGAAATTATACAACCAGTGCGTGTTGCCAGTGATGACTTACGGATCTGAGACGTGATCCTTCACTGCTAGCCGTATGAGGAAGCTCAAGGTCGCTCAGCGAACTATGGAGAGGGTTATGCTCGGAGTTTATCTGCGTGATAAACTTAGAAATGAGGATATCCGCAGTAGAACCAGAGTGGCCGACGTAGCCCAACGGATTAGTAAGCTGAAGTGGCAGTGGGCCGGCCATATAGCTCGAAGAACCGACAACCGATGGGGAAGAAAGGTTCTTGAGTGGCAGCCTCGTACCGGTAGGCGAAGTGTAGGGCGACTCCCCACGAGATGGAGTGACGACCTGGTAAGACATGCAGGAAGTCGATGGATGCAGGTGGCTCAGGACCGTGCTTTGTGGCATTCCTTGGGTGAGGCCTATGTTCAGCAGTAGACTTATGAAAGACTGTAATGATGATAGTAAATAATCATACCTAAATTAACATAAATATTTTTTTTAATCTATAACGTAGCTTTGTTAAAAAAATTAAAATGTTGTTTGGCGTTTATGTAGTTTATTTCTAGAAACTTTGCAATCGCATTTGATGTCTGACATAATAATAACGCCCTCATTATTTGTGAATTGGTGTGTGGGGTCAGCATTTTTACGAAATAATTTTGTACGCGACGCCGCGTCATATTTATTTTGATGATATTATAATATGATGTCATTAATAATTTTAAACTGAAGGTGAGCATGGTTAACTATGACATTGAGACGCCGAACACCTGTCCCCTCTTTGCGTAACCGTAGGTACAATACGGTACTCGAAACGTCGGGAACTTAAAATAAATTAATATACGCAATAAAATCCGTAAAACTTAGTTTCATTTAGAAGTATGGCGAACTAGGTATATGGATTTCAACCAGTCTAATGTATATTGGCTTACATTCTTTATTTGCACATTCTAGCTCGAGAGCTATGAGACAACATTAACACAAAAAAAATTATCAAAATAATGACCTACAAAGCTGATACTTAATTCTAAAAAAAACAAGTTGGATGCGGGAAGTAAAGACTGTGTATGAACCTCCGAAGGAAGCGGAGTTATAGCCAAATTAAGAATTTTCAATTTTTTGTTTTTTGGCCATTTTAACCCCCTAGGGTTGTAATGAGAACTTTTTGCCCCTATTCAACCATGACCGCCATGACATCCTCTACATGATAGGCTATTCAAACTGAATAAAGAACTATGAATGTCCAAGTCTTTACTTCCAACAAGTGGAATGCGGGAAGTAAACTGTGTAAGAACATCCGAAGAAGGCGGTGTTATAGCTAAAATAAGAATTTTTAATTTTTTGGTTTTGGCTATTTTGACCCCCTAGGAGTGTAGTGAGAACTTTTTGCCCCTATTCAACTATGACCCCCATGACATTCTCTACATGATAGGCTATTCAAACTGACTAGGCCTAAAGTTCGAGTCACCCCCCAACTCTTCTAGTCTTTACTTCCAATTACTTTCAAATAATAAAAGAACTCATTACTGTTAACTTTTTCCAATCTTATTCCATCAGCACTTGAAATTTTCTTACATTGCCTGAAGTTAAACCATAAACTAGTAAGCACACAAATCTTGTTATTTGGGTCATTTTATGATAATAGGTTTTGTGTCCATAGAGGATGCGGCCAAGGTTTTTTTCATTAAACACATATTTTACGACTTTAGTCCCTTTTATACACACATTCACGTAAGGGCAAGTCAATTCTTACACATTTAATTACTTTTTAAATAGCCAGGGTAAATACATTAGGCAAGGGAGAGACTTGGACCTAATAAAACAATTATTAAAGTTAACTTTTATGAATAAATACAATATTAAAAAACTATAATTAAAAACCTAAAACTAATAACTTAATTATCATACTGTCCCACTCCCCGTAGTGTTGTGCCAAAAATGCAGGCTGCGTTCCATGCTCATGCTCGCTCAGTGATTTGATTTTCAGTGACAAACTCAAAAAAGCAGCAAATGCAAGGAGCTAAATATACAGTGGATTTCGGGTATAATGACGATGAAGGGACCACTCTATTTTCGTCGTTATATCTGGAAGTTGTTACAGGCAAAGGTAACAAATTCAATACATTACAGTTGCTACTCCGAATATCACTGTAACTGAACCATAAATTTAACTCCAAAACGTACACGCTTCCCTACCTACTTAGCTGATATCTATAGACAAAAGGTAAAGGTCTCCACACTTGCTGACCATCTGTGTGGATGTAAACAAAAGAAGAAATTTTTGTGAAAGAAAGAAATCTTTGTGTCTTTGGTGGCCGACTCCGGTCACAATATCTGCATGGGATTTCTAGCAATTTGTTACAAATGATTCATTAAAAACAGTTGCTACACCCGAATTCGGCGTTACATCCAAAGTCGCTATAGCCACATGATTTTTGTACTAAAATATGCTTTAAATTCAAGGGACTTAGATCTAACGTCACTATAGGTAAATGGTCGCTACAACCAAGGTCGTAATAAATGAAATCCACTGTAAATTAATTGTGTAGATACATATTGTTTCAAAACTATGTGGGTATACACAGCACGGGTAAAAAGAAACAATTAACTTGAATATTAATTTATGTAGAATAGTTATTATGTGACAACAGACTACGACACCTCAGAAACAGTGCAACAAAGCGAAAGCAGTGACAACTGACATTAGAGTTACATGTAAAACACCATAATTAAATGTTTTTAGGCTGTCAATGCATTCAAAAATTCTGAATTATTCTAAATTCTAAATATTTCAGAGGTGTAAGATTTAGTTGATATTGATTTTGCAGGTTCACATTGTTCCAAGTACCCAATAATCAATTATGGGTTCAGGACATTGATGTTTCAATGTTTGATATGTGGCAACATCGACATTAAAACATCTATGTTTTAATTTTTAACATTGATGTTTTAATCTTTAACATCAATGATAATCGAACATCCCTACATAAAACCATCTTTACTATTGATATTAGGATGTTTTTTGATTTTATTAGTCTCATCTTCATGAAGTGTTGGTTCTTTACATCAACTTTATATTATTTTGCAGGTTTTTATTAATCTTTTAGTTAATCCTATATAAGAAAAACTACATTCACAATCAAGCTTGTACACTCCAGAGGGGATATTACACTTGGTGGATGGTAAAACTGACTGAGTTGCCTCATATTGGTGGAGAATAAAATAAAATCCAAGAGTATCTTAACCCAAGAATAATCAATCATATTGTTTTACAATGAGTTTTCACTCTATTGAGAACAACATATTAACTTAATATAAATGTTTATGTGTGCATATATTATATAATCAATTAATATATACAGTGAGGTTTTTCTCTTGATACATCAATATTTATTAATCTAAAACTTAGTATAATAGGTATATCTCACGGATATATATTCTTTCAGAGATACTCCACATTAATTTTGTTTCTGTTTGTTTTTCTCTGTACTAATTTTTGATTAGGTTGAATGTTGAGTTGAAGAACATTAAGTAAATTTAAATTAAATTTTAATACTTAATTACACTCAACCTATAGTAAAATGTTAATAACACTTGATTGTATGATTATTAAGCATATATATAGTATTATATTTAGTGATAAGATTATATAGATATCTCTTTATTGGAATAACATACAATTGTATTGTATGTTATCCCAATAAAGAGAAAAAAAAAGCCTGAAAATAGAACGTAAGAGATGGAAGTATAAAATTAAAACAGAACCTGGATTTTTTTTTCAAATGCTGGAGTTAATATAAATCAAACTTGTTATCTATTACTACTAACTATTTATCACTAAAATTTTAATAGGATGAACCATTCAACTGACCACTAAATCAACATTTGTCTTTGAACTACCCTCCAAAATGTTGATGACTGACACTCAACAAATAGATTGAATTCCCAGTGAATACCAATATTTTGAAATTATATTTTTATGCAAAATACGTGCAAAAAATAATTTCGATATTAGCAGTACTTAGTCAGTTTTCCTCATAACTTTGATTTTGTAAAGTGAGCTTGTGCTATACAAAACTTTTAAGAATGGGAAAACTAGACTATTGTTTTATTATCACCTTATATTACCGCCTTTTTCATTTCGTTTTTGATATTTTAATGCAATCTTACTTCAATTTGTCTATGGGTACCGGCGATTTGACATTGCTGGCATACCGCAAAATACTTTTTAACGTAATCTTTAAAATAAGGGAAATATTATATAAAAATTTAATAGAAATTTCTGTTTTTCTAACTCCACTCCACAGCTGTTACGTAATTCGATATTTAATTGAAGCTATTTGGATATTTTGTGTTAATATTTAATCCGTCCTATACACACTTGTAGCTAAAATATCATTACTAATAATTATTACATGTGCTTTTAATTTGTACTTATGAATAAAAGAAAATAACTTACCTTATATGAAAGCTATGCAGTATTATTGAAAAAGTACTTCTATCAAAGCTTGCATGTAACTTTTAGGTTATTATACTGACACTGACAATCAAAGAAGCAACGAACAGAGAACACTATTGGTGTTGGACACTGAGTGTTGGATGTTGGCACGTTGGTGACAACTGACAAATGAGTAGGAATGTAAAAAATCATCGATTTTCATATTAATCGATTATTGTTTTCTTATAATCGCTTTAAAAAAATTATAACAACAATGGATTTTAATAAATCGATTATGTAAATTACACCTTTTAATCTTTTTTGTAATCAGCGTCATCTGTGCGAAGAATGTAAAAACGTGAAGTAAGTTCAATAACATGAATAAGTCGATCAAAAGAACATCGTCATTTATGCGACAGATGAAAAAACGCGAAGTAAGTTCACTAATAAGTCGATCAAACGACGGCGTCACCTTTATTTATATCTATGTATGTAAAACAGTTTCACCTTTCGTATATTTTCAACTGTTTTCTTTCTCCGCTAGGAATACAAATATTCTGTGGTTTTCTTTCTTTCTTCAATTATACACACACTCTCTTTGGAGAACAAGAGTTAAACAAGAAAAATGTCTTGTAAAACACCTAAAAGTGTCTAACGAAAGTATTTTATAATGCAAAAATATCAGTGGTCAACACTGACGTGTAGGCAAAAATACTGAATTGGACCTATTTGGATTATTGCGACACTACTATCAAATCTCAAGGCAGATGCCCTCAATATATGGAGAAGTTCTGAAGGTACTTTCGCTAAACTAACCGAATTGGTTCTTAAACACCTCTGTATGATGGCCAGTTCCGCGCCAGCCGAAATATTATTTTCGAAAGCGAAAAACCGAAACCGTATTAGGATACGAAGAAGAATTTTGGTAAAATTATTGTTTTTAAACTCTAACTGAAAATTCATGGCAATATTTTTTTTTTGTTTACACAAGTTTAAAAAAAGATTTGTCTTGTATTTTAGTTTTGAGACCAAAAGGTTGTCGTTTGATTATTTATAATTATATTTTCATTTTATTTTAATTCTAGTCCAATGTAAATGATATTGAACATTAGTGGCAATAATTATTTTTCACGCCCGAACGCTGGTTTCGGAATTTCACGCCAGAGGGCGCTCGGTTCGGCGCCTTACCGGTTTTGACGTTCGGTCGAGCGGTGTGCCGAGGGCGCGCGAGCGCGGGATTTGGTTGCCAGCTGTGCTTGGGACAGCACGCTGTCATTTTTTGTGCGGGTACGCGGAATAGTTTAGGCGCGTCTAGTAAATATACTGTCAGCATTCGTATCGCGCATTCCTTGTGTTAGAGCTTTTCCCGGGACTTCTTGTGTCTAATTCAGAATCTGTATAAGGGTATTCGACAATATTAGCTACTACTGCGGCATTTGATATTCTAGAAATAATTGTTGCCACGCGAAACGGTAGTGAACTTTGATCCGGACATTCGTGTTCGTGCGGTGTGTTACGGTTTTGCTTATAGTAACGGGATTTCGTATAGACCGACATTCTGTATTTGTGTTGGGTGTTACGCTTTATAACAAATTAGAGTTAGTGGCTTCTGGAAGTTAGTTAATGGTACGATAAAGTTAAGGACTGTCCTCGTGACGAACGAAGAAAGGGACTGTGGACGACTCCGCGGAAGATTACCACAATTTGGAGCGGTGCTGAAGTCCGAGCTGCTGCCGACGGCAACGGTCTCACAAGGTCTACCACACTCAGTCACACACAGGTACACATCACTGACCCTTACTTCCCATGCACCATACAACCACATGCGACCTGACCGAACCCTGAGGGACCAGTCGCCTTGTATATAGGTATATATAGCTCGATTTTAATATTCTCCCTGTTGAATGGCAGTAGGATAGAACGCTCCCCCTTATTGTTTATTGTAATTAGAGATTTTCCACTTTGGCTTTAGGAGGCCCGACCTGCATCTGCTTGTGGGATCTTCCTTCATGGGCCGGGAAGATCCTACTCTTGGATAGAAGCTGCACGCCGTAACAATTAAGGAAAATCGATTTTTATTAAAAGAAATAATCGATTTTTGCTAAAAAAATCTCTTATTCGAAAAAATTCCTGCTTTCCTATATATTAATAAAACTACGAGCTCACTATAGTATTAACTTTAAACAATAAAAAATTAAAAATAATTACTGCCACAAATGTTCAGTGCCATTTAACAATTCATTAAAACCAAAATAAAAAGAAACGATAGTTCTTGTAAAGTAAGTTTGAACAAACAAAAAAATCTAAATATCATTATTGCCACAATTGTTCAGTACTATTTACATTGGATTAGAATGAAAATAAACAATTATTTATCGTTTTTTTGTTTAAACTTAAAGTATAAAAAAAGATTTTTTTAGTTTTGAAACCAAAAGGTTGTCGTTTGATTATTTAACCTTATAGTTTTATTTTATTTTCATTCTAATCCAATGTAAATAGTACTGAACAATTGTGGCAATAATGATATTTAGATTTTTTTGTTTGTTCAAACTTACTTTACAAAAACTATCGTTTCTTTTTATTTTGGTTTTAATGAATTGTTAAATGGCACTGAACATTTGTGGCAGTAATTATTTTTAATTTTTTATTGTTTAAAGTTAATACTATAGTGAGCTCGTAGTTTTATTAATATATAGGAAAGCAGGAATTTTTTTCGAATAAGAGAATTTTTTAGCAAAAATCGATTAATTCTTTTAATAAAAATCGATTTTCCTTAATCGATTAATATCACAAAGCAGAAATCGATTTTTAGTAATCGATTTTTTTCACTCAATGTCACATCCGTACAAATGAGCAAATAACAATCCACATTCCACATCCACATTCCACAGTGACAAATCCCCAATGTTTTATTGTTTACAATTCGTGTACGTCACGACACGATTCGCCAATTCCGACAGGTAAATGCCTTTAGACCATACAGTTTAGTTTGATTTGTATTTTCTACAAAAAACTTTTCAATTTACTGTTGCGTCACATTGTTCTTGGGAGATTTTATCAATATCTTAAAAGGCACAAAGAAACGGCTCTTTGTTCACGGTTAGCGATACCACTATTCTGGCTACAGTAGTGACAATTGTTACGGAGTGACAGGGGGTGCTTAAATCCTACAATACTGTTAATGAGTTATGGCGCTGAGGGCCGCAGGTTTGGAGCGAAACAAGTATTTTTATGGGCTACAAATAATTTCGGAACTTGGAGTTCCGAAATTTCTCGGATAATATTTGATATTACGGCTAACTCAATCGGTAGTTTTTAAAAATAGAAGAAAAGTACTCGATACCTAACAATATCGATTATTTTGTTTCGATACTTTTCTTGGTATCGATAAATCTGATACGATACTGGTATCGAGTAACGTATCGATACTTTTGAAATTTTGTGGAATACTAAGAAGAAGAAATACGTAAGTAGGAAGTAAGGAACCAACTAGACTAGAATTTAGAATCCAAAATAATTCATCCGAATTTTCTGTCGATTTTACATATCTGAACTGGCACCCTTTTCAGTCTGTTTATGTTTGATGGTGATTTCCCTCAAACTTTCGGAGGGATACCCTTTGGCAGCCCGTACACACTCAAACTCGATTGCAATCACACAGTTCTAATCGCGATCATGGATCACAGGATCGCAGCACAACATTTCACGTTCAACCTTGATTTCTTCAGTCTTCCCTATATATAATGTACTCTGTGCTTCAGTCCGTGTATCGTAACCGCCGCATTAACAACGTCTGTTATCTTGTCATATTAAAAAGTACTCTTTGGTCATGAATTTACATGAGGTTAAAGATGTAGTATCACTTGTTTTGGTCCTTACTTTGAAGAAAAGGATTCAAAAATGGCAGTGGGTTAAACAGTGGCTACTTAAAATAGAAATGTACACTCGTTTAAATCTACTAAAACAACTGCTGAAACTGACGATTATAAAAACTACTTCAGGATGGGGTAAAAATGTTTCGATGAGTTACTACAAATGATAACTCCATATATTTTTATTACATTTATATTATTTGTATTATATTTATGCTGGGGAATCCATAGCTCTGTTAAAGTTTCCGTTTTGCGGATCCATACTTCTTCAAATTTGGTCCGTAAACCTGTATGAACTACAACAAATATTGTTTGGTGATTCTGGTATGCTAAGCCTCGTAGACACACACCCAATCTTTACAATATTGTTAATAAGATACTTGGGGGTGATAAATCCGACACCTCCTTGGGATAGATTGTTCTTCTCTCCAAAGAGAGAACAAGTAGCCAGATTTGGGGCTTACTGTGTCCTCCCCTTTTTTTCATATCTTAGATATTCCTAACAAATCCAGACGCAACTTGTCTATCTCTTCTTTCAGTTCCAAGATATTTTCGCTTGCCCTCAGGTGGCGTGCGTTCAATGTTTCTAGGTCGAGTCTCTCAAGGTGGCAACCGAATCTCCACCGCAGATGTTCCTGGTGTAAATTTACGTTAATGATTTGTGAACAATTACTCTCTTAAAATCACTTGGAATTATACATATCTCGATTATCATGTGTAGAAATAGTATTTGTAAAAACAATAAAAATCAACATTAATGTATAGTTTGTGAAACAATCCACCTGTCAGATAATAAAATTACTTATTTATAGTTTTTATTTTATATTAATATTAAATATATCATTTTATCCCACATGCTTCTATAAAGTTAATTCGAATATTTTGATGCAAGCATTTCAAATTTATGGGAATAAGCCCAGTAGATTTGTGAAACTTAAGCCAAAATTAGAATCGAATCTGCCTTATAAACACCAAAAGTTTAAAAGTTACAAAACAAAAAGTTCTAAGTTTCCAGCGAAAAGTTTCATAAGGGCGATAGCAGTGGCGCTATTAGTATACATTCCTAGTCACGTGTTTAATTTTTTTTTAGTTTGGTGATAGCATCCTTTTTGGTAGAGAGTAATAGTGTTGTGATCTCAATCGTTATTCTTTTGGTAAAATTTACTGTAGGGACCAATTAAATAGGATTGTTCTGTATAAAGGCCAAAAAGTAATTGTGATCAATTTATTTAAAAATCAATTTAAGGTGTTTGCTGGTGAAATAAAAACGGAGACACTTAATACATTACGAATGTGTATTTTTCACACCAGTACCTATAAGTCGCGGCACGTAAATTTAGCGGTGACCGTTATTGCGTATAAGTAAAAAATAAGGTATTATGGGGTAATAAGTGGGCGTGCGTGTCGTTCGCACGTGCTGTTTGGCTCTGCAGTCACATTCCGTCCCCCGTACTCAAGCGCAGCTACCCCTTTCACGTTTCGTTCAGCGCTCACTTATGTGCCGCGACTTGTACCTGTTTATATTTTATTAACATTATGTTACAAAAGAAATACCCATTATAAACTGTCTGTGGTGTTCCGGAACTAAAATAAATGAAACTAAGCGGTGGTCACAGTGCCAATTCGTACCCAGGGTTCCCAACTTAGGGGTTTCACTAAATTTAGGGTAAATAAGTGGTATGGGATATATTTTTATGGGCTTTATATTATTTTAGGAGTATTTTTATGGAATTTTATATATTTATCTACTTTAGCTAATTTTTGTTTAGAAGTTTAAAATGATTGCGGTGTAATATTTTTTTTATATAGAAGAGTGGCAAACGAGTATGTGGCTCAACTGATGGTAAGTGTCTACTGCCGCTCATAAACAACCGCATCACGAGGGGAATTGCCAAGATTGAAAAGATGCGTTGCCGGTCTTTTATAAATGTGTAAGCTCTTTTCTTGAAGGTCCCTAAGTTATATCGGTTCGGTAAAATCGCTCTAAACCTTTTAAACGGTTGCAATTTCTTGTTAGCTATTAAAAAGTTTATCTGTGATATAGAAAGTGTAATGATTATCTGATTCACATTCCAACGAAATAGCGCAGCAGCTATAAATTCAATGTTTCATCAGACTGTCCATGACAGTAAACATTTTTCTCCGAGGTTCATGGCTTGAAAATACAACTTTCTGATTTGTTTCTTAAGGAAAATTGTTTAATTTTATGGGTAGGTTCATCTCTCAAGAGGTAATTGGGGTTTAATAAATTTTGTATTAAAATCCAATGCAAGGCTGCCTGCCTGGTTGAGCTTATTTTCGCTAACATGTATTTTTTGAATATTTTTTATAGGATAAGAGTATAAACGAGCACACAGTCCACCTGATGGTAAGTGGTTGTGTGGTCCATAGATATCTACATCTATCCTCTATTACAAATCAAAATGCAGATGCATTATCATCCGTGAGAACTAAGATGGAATGCCTCATTTCCAGTAAAAGGGGTCTCCGGTTCTCTACACTCACCATACGAAACACAGCAGCGCTAAGCTGCTATTTTACGCTGGTATTCTGTGAGAGCGTGGTCCTTCCTCGCTCGAGCCGACCCATTCGTGCTACAACTATGCCAGTAATATAGCTGCAGCATTGCTCTACCGCTTAATAAATGTTTATAAAAATATATTGAAATTATTTTATTTTGAAACTATCATGGTAAAAATTAAAAAAGGGGGTGCTAAGAATCTCCGGTGGAGATTCGGTTGCCACCTAAGACGACTTGACCTGGCAACATACAACGCACGTACCCTGAGGACTGACGAGAAGATCGTGGAGCTGGAAGAAGTGATAGACATATTACGCTGGCATATTATAGGATTATCCGAAGTCCGAAGAGAGGGGAAGGACACGGTAATCCTCGAATCCGGCAACTTGCTCTATCACCGGGAGGGCGACCATCTGTCCCAAGGAGGTGTCGGATTTATCATCCACAAGTCTCTCGTTAACAACGTTGTAAAGATTGGGAGTGTGTCGACGAGGGTTGCGTACCTTATACTCAGAATCACCAAACGGTATTCGCTGAAGGTCATACAGGTTTACGCACCAACCTCGGCACACCCCGATGAGGAGGTGGAGGAAATATATGAGGATATCTCTTGAGCCATGCATTCGTCCAAAACCCAATATACGGCGTTAATGGGACACTTCAATGCAAAACTAGGCACAAGAGAGAACGGTGAGCTGAAAGTAGGGAAATTTGGAATAGGGCAACGGAACCCAAGGGGCCAGCAGCTGGCCGACTTCATAGAGAAACCCCAATGGTTTCACAAAAAACGAGATTGACTTCATTTTGACGACCAGACGACAACTGTTCAGTGATGTCTCCGTGATCGCGAGGGTGAAAACTGGTAGCGATCACCGAATGGTTAGAGGCACACTGAACCTAAACGACGATATGAATGACAAGCTCGTGGAAACTGTCCATGCGGTCGGAGCTAAGTTCTGCAAGACCCGCCGCAGAAGAACACAAAAACTCTCCGATCACACTCTTAATCTCATGGCTGTTAGACGGGAGATGAAGCTACATTCTTCAACAGATTTGACAGCATACAGGCAACTGAACAGACAGATCTCCAAATGCATGCGGCGGGACTTACGCAACTTCAATACAGTTTGTATTGAAGAAGCGATGGAGCGGAACCTAGGCTCCAAAGTCTTTGCCAGAGATCTGTCTGCCAGAAAGAGCCAACTGTCGAAGCGGGTCGAAGCGAGGTTCTATGGGCAGCTTTACACGTCATCGTTGGAGCCACACGCAAGTGTGAGTAACGATCCAAGAGCGAGTTTTATCCGACACTATTCCGAAGATATCCCGGACGTCAGTCTGAGCGAGTTTAGAATGGCTCTCCAGCACCTTAAAAACGGCAAGGCCCCAGGCGAGGATGGAATTACAGCGGAGCTTCTGAAAGCGGGTGGAATACCGATACTGGAACTCCTTCAGAAGCTCTTTAATTCCGTCCTCCATGGTGGCATTACACCGGAGGCGTGGAGCAGGAGTGCGGTGGTCTTGTTTTTCAAGAGAGGCGACAACGCTCTCTTGAAGAACTACAGACCGATTTCCCTTCTGAGCCGCATCTACGTGCTGTTTTCGAGAGTCATTACGAATCGTCTCGCGCGCAGACTTGACGACTTCCAGCCTCCCGAACAAGCCGGTTTCTGAAAGGGCTTTAGCACCATAGACCACTTACATACCCTTCGGCAAATTGTACAGAAGTCCGAAGAGTACAATTTGCTATTATGTCTGGCGTATGTGGACTATAAGAAAGCCTTTGATTCCGTCGAAATTTGGGCGGTGCTGCAGTCCCTTCAGCGGTGCCAAGTTGACTGTCGGTATATCGAGGTGCTGAAGTGTTTGTACAGTAGAGCCACGATGGCTATCCGAGTACAGAACCAGAGTACGAAACCTATCCAATTGCATAGAGGTGTAAAACAGGTTGATGTTATATCCTCGAAACTCTTCACCGCTGCATTGGAAGACGTTTTCAAGCTTCTGGACTGGAAAGGATACGGTATTAACATCAATAGCGAGTACATCACTTCATTTGGATTTGCCGACGATATAGTCCTTATGGCAGAATCGCTGGAAGACCTAAGCACCATGCTCAATGACCTCAATAGTGTCTCCCAACGAATAGGTCTTAGGATGAACATGGACAAAACAAAGATCATGTTTAATGTCGATGTCACACCTATGCCGGTAGTTGTTGGGAGCACTAAGCTCGAAGTTGTTGACGAGTATGTTTACCTGGGACAAATAGTCCGACTAGGTAAGTCCAACTTCGACCGAGAGCTCAATTGACGGATTGAACTCGGCTAGGCAGCGTTCTGGAAACTACGACACATCTTCTCGTCAGACATAGCTCAAAACTTTAAAACGAAATTCAACAACCAGTGCGTGTTACCAGTGATGACTTATGGATCTGAGAGGTGGTCCGTCACTGCTGGCCATATGAGGAAGCTCAAGGTCACTCAGCGAGCTATGGAGAGGGCTATGCTCGGGGTTTCTCTGCGTGATAAACTTAGAAATTAGTATATCCGCAGTAGAACCAGAGTAACCGACATAGCCCAACGGATTAGTAAGCTAAAGTGGCAGTGGGCCGGCCATATAGCTCGAAGAACCGACAACCGATGGGAAAGAAAGGTTCTTGAGTGGCAGCCTTGTACCGGTTGGCGAAGTGTAGGGCGACCCCCCACGAGATGGAGTGACGACCTGGTAAGACATGCAGGAAGTCGATGGATGCAGGTGGCTCAGGACTGTGCTTTGTGGCATTCCTTGGAGGAGGTCTATGTTCAGCAGTGGACTTATGAAAGGCTGTAATGAATGAATGAATAAATGGTAAAAATTAATATTTTTTTAGTTATACAGTTTCTATGACTCTGTCTCTATGAACAATTCCCAGGTATATTGTGTATTGTTTATGGTCAATGTCAAACGTATAAAAAATCAACACACGCATCACACACACACAATATTTTGATATTTTGTTAGTTTGGTGTTAATACTTGGTGATTTTGAAGTTGAATTAATTATAAAAGTGGTTTCTGAATAAGTTTTAGCGTAAAAATATATAATACAGTATATAACAGTTTGATATTTTTTTAAGTTATGTTAATATTTAATTATTTGAGAGAAAAAATGGATTCTAAATCATGTTAGGAGATATTCAATTAACGAAACGTTTGATAGTTATTGCCTTAGTTCTCATTGTTATTTTAATTTTAAAGGAATACGTTTTCGATTTTTCATAATGAGTCAACCTCGAGTGGCTTATTTTTATAATGCAGATGTAGGAAATTTCCATTACGGTCCTGGACATCCTATGAAGCCTCATAGACTGGCGGTTACTCATAGCCTCGTTCTTAATTATGGTCTCCATAAGAAAATGCAAATATATAAACCTTACAGAGCCAATGCACATGATATGTGTCGGTTTCACAGTGAGGATTATATAGAGTTCCTGCAGAATGTAACACCACAGAATATACAAAGTATGTATCTTGTTTATATCCTTAAGTTTTCATATCAATATTTATACTTATTTTAACTGTCATATATTTTATTTATTTATTATAAGCACAGTGCTGACTACAATCCCACCTGGTGGTAAGAAAAGCATATTAAGCCATTGATCCTGTGCTTGATCTGTCTCATATCAAGTTGTATTGCCATCCCATTGGACTATAAGAGAGAAAGGCTAGAGAGTGCATCTATGCTTGTGCACATACTCCTATAATCCTCCATAATGATCTCCAGACCAAATTGCAGTCATATTTGCCTGTCTCAATGTAGACATCTACAACTAGCCACCTGTGCAGGACAAGATTGTAGTGCCCCAGTGTATGAGCAAACAGGAACACCATACCTTCACTCTCATAGTCCGGTGGAGAGAAATCAGGCACAGGACCAACACTTTTGCTTGACATAAAAACCATATAACTGATTTTGGCTTGATCTGGGATTCAAAACAATGACCCCTTGATCAGCAATCTAATATTATTATTATTATATAATAATAATAATATTGTGGCTAATTTAGTACAAAGTTACATTAAACATAAAACTCCAGACCAAATTTCGGTCACGACAGCCAACTGGTTACGGCTACAACCAACAAGGCAGTTGACACACATGCAACTATAATATTGTCCTGCATAGATAGCTAATCTGCGGTGACTGTTGTCACCGACATTTGGTCTGGAGTTTTATGTTTAATGTAACTTTGGACTAAATTAGCCACAATATGGATTTCCATTGGTAAGTGGGAACACGAAAGGGCCAGACTATTTGCAATGTGATGAAGTTCGGCTTTGCTCAACAATGGGTAATATTTTCCACTTATATGCAATGGACTTCAGAGATTAGTTTCACTTCAATTCTATAAATAACTAAAATAAAAAAAATAAAAACTGTTGCAGCAAAAAGAGCTGATGATCTTTAAATGGCTGAACAGATTTTCTTAAAATATAGCTAAGAACACTCTCAATTAAGGCACCTTTCAAACAAAAAAAAACTTAATCAAATTGGTTCATCCATTAAGGAGTTATGATCCCACAGACAGGCACACAGATACATAATATATACACAGATACACACTACAAACATATATCACCCCTCTGTTTTCGTCGGGGGTTTAATAAGAACCAACTATTAGAAATGGTATGGTAGTGAGCAAATAAATATTTGAATACTTAAGAAGCTGTCAAACAAGTGCTATTGTAATTTGCAAACTACCTGCAAAGCCTTGCTAACCAGCTTGTGAGCATATTTGAGAAACCGCTTGGTATCTGCTGCAATGTACAATTGTGCTTTAAGAAAATGATAATTAAACTAATACCATAATAAATTCTCTTTGCTACTCTCGATCTGCCTTGACCCCTGGATTTGCTTTTGTTTTTAATTGGTAAAGAAAGTTATATTTTGTGTTTTCAGGTTATTCCAAGGATTTGTTACATTACAATGTTGGTGATGACTGTCCAGTGTTTGAAGGTCTTTTTGATTTCTGCTCCATGTATACTGGAGCATCTTTGGAAGGTGCAATGAAACTCAACCATAATGTATGTGATATAGCAATCAATTGGTCCGGTGGTTTACATCATGCAAAGAAATTTGAGCCTTCTGGTAAGTGATATTGAAACTGTTCAATACCGACAGTCTTTATTTTTAAACTGTACACATTTTTGCATATGTAAGTTGAAAAAATTAAAAAAATTAAAATTTTCATACATGTTGTAATATCTATGTCACATGCATCTAATCGTAAGTGGATGCTGTGGCCCATAGATATTTAGGCACCAACAAGATATAAGTTTACAATTTTTTCATAAAACACTTATTCATGGAACAAAACATGCAAACAAGCTTTATCTTAATTATAGGTAACCATCGCTGGGTAAAAATAACAAGAAGTAGACTATAAAAATATAAAATACAAAAAACAAAAAAGATACCAAAAAGCTTATAAACAAAGAAAAGGAAAATTGTGAGTAAAGGGAATATCTACATTTCTCCTTGATTAAGAATCAATATGTAGATGTGTGGGCCACTCCTAAGGATTATTTCCAGTAAAAACTGTCTCCGATTCTCTACAGCAGCTATTTTACTGTACTAGTTATCCTGTGAGAGCATGGTGCTTACCCGGCCGAGCCGACTCATTTGTTACAACCATAATATAGTTGAAGGATCTACTATGTTTATAATCACATCATATCACCTCTAAATATTCTTCAGTAGTACACTGTTTCAGTACATTCCAAAAATATAAGTATACTTTATATTGGACATGATTTGTTTTTTTGAAATTACATGGCATTTTAGGTCTGGCATTATTATGCTCTTTCTGGCTTTTAAATGCCTTTACATTTCTTTTTTATTTAAGTCTAGTTTTGCAACATGTTAGAGGCAATGATATATGGTTAATGCATTATAAATTAATGGACCCACACTGCAAACTAATGTTTAAAATATTAACTTTATAATTATATTATGTAGACAAGCTACAAATACAATTTTTGTCACTCTCTCTTTCTCTCTCTCTCTTTTTCTCTCTCTCTTTTTCTCTCTCTCTCTTTCTCTCTCTCTCTCTCTCTCTCTCTCTCTTTCTCTATCTCTCTCTCTCTCTCTCTCTCTCTCTCTCTAATTGAACTCTGAGAATGTATCTCTTAATTCTACCTCTTTATTAAACAATATTGTTAGGGGTGACTCTGAATGATAGGTTGAGAAATTGTTATCAAACAGGAATGCATTGGCGGTTTGGGCCCATAGATAAAATGAATGTGGAAAAAGTGACAGAGCAAATTTATGCTGCAGAGGTGAGTGGCAAGAGATGCCCTAGACAGAAGTTTATCAACCAAATTGGCAATATACTAAGGCTGGAGGACCACTTTACAAGCAAATTTAACCAATGAACATGTATGCCCCAATATATAAATGTGAAAGAAGCATAAGACGCATGTTATGATTTATACGTGGTAGAGCCATGCTGCAGTTATATTAGTAGTATAGTTGTAGCACGATTGGGTCTGCTCGACCGGGGAAGGACCACACTCTCACAAAATATCAGTGTAAAATAGCAGCTTTATACTAGTGTGTTTTGTATGGTGAGTGTAGAGAACCGGAAACCCATTGTACTGGAAAAGAGGCATTCCATCTTAGTCCTCACGGGGGACAACGCATATGATTTTGATTCCCAAACGAGGATAGATGTAGATGTCTATGGGCCACAGCAACCACTTACCATCAGGTGGACTGTGAGCTCATTTGTCACCCTATCCTATAAAAAAAAATGATCATGCCAAATAGAAATTCATAGTCTTTGCCTATCCCTCTGGTTGACAGGTGTGAGAGTTTGTGTATGTATTACGAGTAAGTTAAGTATAAATAATATTTTAACATTATAATGGCGGATTTTTCAATCCTCACATAAAATTATATATATTATTCATAGAATAAAATACAACATAAAATACATTACAGTTGGATGATTAAAATGTTCATTTGTTTCACTTTTATATTCAGTCAGGTTATAATTTGTTCATGGATAACTTATATTGGATGTTTCTAAGATACATAAATTATATTTTCAGGATTCTGCTATGTTAATGATATAGTAATAGCAATATTAGAATTACTAAAATACCACCCTCGAGTGCTTTATATTGATATTGATGTTCATCATGGAGATGGTGTCCAAGAAGCATTCTATTTGACAGACAGAGTCATGACAGTTAGCTTTCACAAGTATGGAAACTACTTTTTCCCCGGTACTGGTGATATGTATGAAATTGGAGCAGAAAGTGGGAGATACTTCTCAGTGAATGTGCCGTTGAAAGAGGGTATTGATGACCAAAGTTATGTTCAGGTAAGAATTTATGATATTGTGGTCAAGTGATGTTTTCCTGAAATGATTGGATTTGAAATATTTCTGTATTTAATTAAAAGAGTATTACAATTTTTTATTTGGTTGGTTTGTTTCCCTTTGTCACCTCTTACGACACCCACGGTACAATATGTGGTATATTCTTACATCATCACTGCACAGTCCCATAAAATATATAAATTTGAAGCAATTGAACAATTTTATTTGTATTTCTTGTAACATAATAAGTAACTTAAATTTTGTAAAGATTAGTTGTATTTTAATATCAAAGTCTACAATAAAAGTTTGCACTTTAGAGAAACCCTAAACCTTTACTTGCTGTTGTAGCATCGAGATAACAGCTGGGTCACAAATCTACGTTTTTCGGATCGTTTTACAAGTACTGGTCGTATTTATTTTTAATGACTAATGAACCCCCGTAAGTGTTTGTCCATGCTCGTGAATCATAAAATAAAATGAAATTATAATATTCGATAAAATTAATTTTACATATTTTGTAGGGTAGGAGGCACCTCTCCTTTAGACCTGCGTGGACAAAGTAGGTAGATGTAATTACAATAAAGGATCCTCCGTAATTAAAGAAAGAAAAACAAAAAATAAAGACAGTGACAAACAAAGAAGCAAAGAGAGACACCAGTAAATATTTGTTATAACTGTAAAGGGCAATATTTTAATATGCTATACTATTTATAATTGTGTATAGGATGCATATAATTGGGTAGAATAATGCGTTTGTGAGTAATGAGTAAAGGCATTTATATATAAATAGGCCGTTAAGTTTTTTAATAAATAGATTTTATATTATGTTAATGAGAGAAATAGACCTTATTACACATATACTTTATAATTCACTACAGTTTAGTTTTAGTTAACTACTTTATATACATATTATTTTGTATTTTAAATTACCTCCATGGTTGTATTAGTAACTCAAAATATTTTATAGACTATTTTAAGATGATGGAAGTTTAAGTCAAGTAATTGGCTTTATTAACCTTCCATGAGATGAGCCATTTAAGCATGGAATGCTTTTTCAAACACTGACCTCTATATATAGACTGGCTATAACCGTGACATAATGAGGCGATTTGATTTTCGCTATTTTGGCGCTGACAGCAGAAGTGAACGTCCACGGAACTAATAATAGAGATAAGACAGTGTAAAAAAATATATCGATAAGAATTCTATACCCAAGCCTATCCGTAACATCCATTCTATTTTTGTATCATATTATTATAATGCCATACAATAAATAAATGTATCAATTAATACCTAGGCCTTAGACGCAAGCTTTATACTTCATATAAAACAGAATCGACGTTGCTTTGATCTATCAACGTTTTTATTCGTAACTACAGAACGGATTTTATTCTGGGTTTCAAATGAGAAAATGCCGCCTACGCATACCTGCATTGTGGGGGCAAGAATGAATTTCCGACTTGCACCTACTAAAACCCCATGATGTTCCACCTTCACCATACATTGATATGGCCACGGAAACGCTTTCAAGCACATCCGCAGCCCCACCAGCGAGGACCCTTCCTTAGTTGAGGACTTCCCTCCCAGACTTTCCGAGCCCGATATTTAGAGGCCATGGAGCCAAGAAAAAACGAGCACACGAAAGCACCAAGTGGTACAGTCCCGCCAAAGTCGCTCAAGATAGACGAGTGGCGCATAACCATACCAACAATCCTCTTCCCTTGCAATACCACCTCGGCTGCAGCGATATAGAGAGAGGACTCTCCTCTAGCCGCAGCTCACTCACACACATTCAAGGGCTCGACAAGCCCACTCAGAGTAGTCACTTTGGGCCAGCCATGTGATTCGCCCTATGTTTACCATGGGTTACCAAGCCACGGCTACTAACGCGTCCCCACGCCACGACAAGGCGGGAATCCGTTCAGGGAGGAGTTATTTCTCCCTAAACTCACGCAAACTCACAAAGGACATTAATAATTTTGCAGTTTCAATATATAAATTTATTCCCTTGATAAAATAAATTGGTCACAATAATTATACAGATTTAATAAACTTACGTCTTGTAAACACAAAGTCATCATCACGCGACCTTTCTACACTTGGCTATGGCCCATGATTCTGGGGGAAAATAAGGAAAGAAGAAATAAAAAACATTTGAAATAATAATCTAATACTTTTATACTTCTGGTACTAGCAGAAAATATTGTTGGTATACTGCACTTTTTCAAAGTGGTGCGTTTCTCATGTCCAATAAACAGTCGTCTGTGAAGTGTTTAGAACAAAGATAATCGTTTTGTTTCGGACCAATTCACAAGTTTTGTGCTTTTTAGCCATAACTTTAGTCTAGGTTCTAGTTCTAGGTAGGTTGGTTGTGAACAGATATGGGTAAAAAAAGAACATTGATAAGTATTATAGGCAAGGAACTCAACAACCCTATTGAGTATATAAAGAAAAACATGTTGGTAATTACGATATTAAGATTAGTAACAAATTTTTAGTATGTATATTATGAAATAGTTTTAATTTGCTTAATATTAGGTGCAAATTCACTTCCTTGTGAAATGTTATCCTACTTTCTTTTTGGTCACGAGTTTTACATATTACGCACACTCATTATTATTAAAAGTAATTATTATTATGTAACTAAAATCAAACATAATCAAACCACATAAAATACTTTCATTAATTAGTTTCAAAATTCAAAATACAGAGATATAATTTAAATAATACAGACATAAAATAGACTTTGGTATATTATGTTAATTTTAGTTCCCGGTACGGACAATGATGGCGCTTCAAATCGGCATAAGCATTTTGTATGGCATAGCCAGTCCAGCGTACTTGTATATATAGAGGTCAGTGTTTTTCAAAGGAAGTTAAATTGCGAATAAATCTAAAAAATAATTGAAATTGTCACTTATTATTAATCTATTTTAGGTTTTCAAACCTGTGATATCTAATGTTATGGAGTTCTATCGACCGACTGCAATTGTATTGCAATGTGGAGCAGACTCACTGGCTGGGGACCGGCTGGGTTGTTTTTCACTTTCAACACGAGGACATGGGGAATGCGTTAAGTTTGTCAAAAGTTTTAATGTAGCCACATTAGTGGTTGGCGGTGGAGGGTAAGTAAAAAAATGTGTTCTAAATTTAATCGTACATAATATAAATGAAAAAAAAAATCATTATTATCTTTATTTTAATAATTCAACATTGTATTATTCACACTAATATTTCAATACTCATAAAAACTTTTGTTATATAATTAGCCGTGGTAGTGGCGGCGTCAGGTAGTACTGCACCATATCATCCAGTAAGGGTCGTAAAAGGCGACGAAGAAAAATGAAACAGTATATGGGCACCAGCATCTGGTAACAACGTAAAATAATAAAAAAAAAGCTGCGATCGGGTTGTTACAAATTAATTTGCTTAATTCCGCGTAAAGAAAGAAAATGATGTGTCCTGCCCAGTTTTAAGGGGACCTCCCACCCTCCCTCAATCGCGCGCACAATATCCGTCACCGTCAATCCCAGCACTACCATCCCCAGCACCACCACACTAGACACGACACACCACTCTCGAAAATACGACACGTGTTTCGCCTCTACACGAGGCATCCTCAGGTGAAGTATACTCTGCGGAGGCTGGCCGCTAAGTGAGCGGCGAGCTGAAACAACTGCTATTTATACTACTTGCTGACGCAACCGCGCTCCAATTACGTATAGAGCGATTACGTCATGCGATCAATCACCACCTGACGTACGCAGATATTTGCTGTGAAATTAACAACAGACTACTGCGATACGTCTGCCTACCCTCCAACCACGCAACCAATCGCTGGCCACCGCACCGTGAGGGTGACAAACGACCATGTTGCGAGGCTGTATGTCAACAAGGAGCAGGCTTAAACAAGTTTAAGAAACATTTGTTTGTTCATTCAGCAGTGCAACGCTATTATTTTTTAATATCTCTAACTGTTGCAGCACACACAGTCGTAGCCCTTTATTACAAGTATGTAAGACTTTAAAAGAGTGATCATTGGCTAGGCTGTGTCCAGTGTCTAAGAGATGTTTAGCAAAATGTGATTTATCGGGATTACAATTCCTGTACGCGGCTAAATGCTCTTTATAACGTGTTTCGAAGTTGCGACCAGTCTGACCCACGTAGACGGCTTGGCATTCGTCACAAACAAGTTTATAAACATCAGACTTTAGACGAATATCTAACTTATCTTTATTATTACAGATATTCCTAAGTAAATTGTTTGTTTTGAACGCCACGTAAACACCACTCTGTCGAAGAGTATTAGCTATCTTTTCAGATGTGGAACCTATGTAGGTCAAACTACCAACATATCGACGGTCACTGAGGTTTAACCGCGTACAGAGAATTGCGTACGACAAGCTTTTGTTTCTTTTTGATTACATTGTCAATGATATTCTTTGAATAACCGTTAGAGACCGCAATTTGATAAATCACATTAAGCTCTTTTAAATAATTTTCTTTACTTAATGGCACAGTTAACAACCTATTATTATAACAATAAAAAGCGGCTAATTTATGTTGCCACGGATGACATGATGACCCAGGAATGACTGTGTCGGTATGAGTTGGCTATCGATAAATTTGAAATTCATGTAACGACTCTTTTCTTGTTATTGTTATATCGAGAAAATTAAGGAAACAATCTTGTTCCAATTCAAGCTTAAATTTAATTTTGTGGTGAATTTTATTAATTTTCTCTTTGTGCCAGTCCAGCAAATAATTGTCGTCTACATATCGATAATAGTATAAGATATTTTGATTGACAACTATGTGTTGTTTTTCAAAATTATCCATAAAAATCCGCCGTAAGGGGACTTAGAGGGGAACCCATGGCTAGCCCTTCTTTTTGTAGATAGAAGTGGTTATTAAACCGGAAATAGTTTTGTTTCATACAGAGAGAGGTTAAGTTTAGAAGATCATTTGTTTCCCCAGGATGTAGACGACGTTTATTAAAGAAATCTGCGAGTATACACAAACAGTCTGGGGATGGGACATTTGTGAAAAGACTATCAACGTCTAAAGATAACAATATGGATTTAGGAGGAATACGAATATCTTTAATCTTGGAAATGAGATCTAAACTATTTTTAAGGCTGTAAGTTGGATTGAATCCAGATTTCTCCCGCAGAAGGAAATTTAACTTTTTAGCAAGGAAATAAGCGGGTGCACCTATATATGATACAACTGGACGAATAGGAACCTGTTCTTTATGTATTTTAGGTAACCCATATAAATTGGATGCTTGAGGATTCATTGGAACAAGACTGCTGCGAGACACGTTATGGTCGGGAAAAACATATGATGACTGTTGTATGCATACTTTAATATCCGAAGTATTGCAAGTATGTAAGACTTTAAAGGATCTCTTGGACACTGGACACAGCCTAGCCAATTACCACTCGACTACGACTGTGTGCGCTGCAACAGTTAGAGATATTAAAAAATAATAGCGGTAACGTTGCACTGCTGAATGAACAAACAAATGTTTCCAACTCGCCTCTCTTAAACATATTTAAGCCTGCTCCTTGATGATATACAGCTTCGCAAGATGGTCGTTTGTCACCCTCACGGTGCGGTGGCCAGCGATTGGTTGCGTGGTTGGAGGGTAGGCAGACGTATCGCAGTAGTCTGTTGTTAATTTCACAGCAAATATCTGCGTACGTCAGGTGGTGATTGATCGCATGACGTAATCGCTCTCTACGTAATTGGAGCGCGGTTGCGTCAGCAAGTAGTATAATTAGCAGTAGTTTCGGCTCGCCGCTCACTTAGTGGCCAGCCTCCGCAGAGTCTACTTCACCTGAGGATGCCTCGTGTGGAAGCGAAACACGTGTCGTATTTTCGAGAGTGATGTGTAGTGCTTAGTGTGGTGGAGCTGGGGATGGTAGTGCTGGGATTGACGGCGACAGGTATAGTGCGCGCGATTGAGGGAGGGTTGGAGGTCCCTTTAAAACTGGGCAGGACACATCATTTTCTTTCTTTACGCGGAATTAAGCAAATTAATTTATAAGTACACTTTTAAAGTTTTTGCCTGTCTGACTGTTTGTTCCGGCTAATCTCCGAAACGGCTGGACTGATTTTGACGGGATTTTCCCTGGTAGATAGCTGATGTCACAAGGTGTAACTTAGGCTACTTTTATTTTAGAAAAAGAATTAGGGTTCCGCGCTAAAAAAATTAAAATACCATATAACACGCGGGTGAAGTCGCGGGGAACAGCTAGTCAATAAAGAATCAAACTGCAGATGTATTGTCACCCGTGAGGACTAAGATGGAATGCCTCTTTTCCAGTAAAATGGGTCTACAGTTCTCTGCACTCACCATACGAAACATAGCAGTGTTAAACTTACTAATTTACACTGGTATTCTGTGATATTCTTAAGATCAAAGAAGATCATGCACTGTGACATATATGTAATTATATGTAAATAAATGAATGATATACACAATCTATGCTATTTAAAAGTCATTGATGAATTATTGAAATGTTTCCCTGTAATACAAAAGTTTCACTTCTATCGTGTATCTTTATGACACACTGTTTGTTTTTTCTGTCTTGATTGTTGTTTTTTTTTGTTATATGTATGTGTCAAATAAACATTTCTTTCTTTCTACGCAGACGGTCACCTAAACAAAAAAGGTGTCCTACATTTACTATATTTACATATGTGACACCGGCAAACGATATTTAGATAAGGATTTTGTTTTATGTCACCATATTTTAATTATCAATTATTGTATTTCAGATATACATTGAGAAATGTAGCAAGGTGTTGGACGTATGAAACTTCATTGCTAGTTGATGAGAACATATCTAATGAACTTCCGTACACAGAGTATTTGGAATTCTTCGCCCCCGACTTCCAGTTGCATCCTGAAATCAGCAGGTAAGAAAAGAAAAGTAGTTTTTACTTTATACACAATGAGGGCTTATAATCTTCCGCTCATCAGATGTCGCTAGTTGGGATTGAGGTGAAGTTTTTTGTTACACAGTGTCATATAATTAATTGAGAAGTTGTGTTTTAAATATAATTTTATTGCTTCCTAAAGTAATAAGTAAATACACAACACCAATTCCGTAATGCATCTGTGGTTTGCTCTTTAGTTTTTTTTTTGCAGATTTTATAACTTTTTTTTTTAAATTTTTTGCTTTTAGGAATATCCGTAGTTTAGTTTATTTCTAAACTAATAAATAAAAAAAGTTTCTTCGTATTCTATATACAAATCCAAGACATTTTTTTTCAAAGTTTCATCATCATCATCATTACAGATCTTCACAAGTCCACTACTGAATATAAGCCTGCCCCAAGGAATGTCACCTGCATCCGTTAGTCCATCTAGTGAGAGGGTGCGCTACACTTCGCCTGCCGGTACGAAGCTGCCACTCGAGAACCTTTCTTCCCCGTCGGCTGTCGGTTCTTCGAGCTATATGGCCGGCTCATTGTCACTTCAGCCTACTAATCCGTTGGGCTATGTCGGTTACTCTGGTTCTACTGTCACACCTATGCCGGTAGTTGTTGAGAGCACTAAGCTCGAAGTTGTTGACGAATATATTTTGGACTTATTCAACTCGGCTGGGCAGCGTTCGAGAGATCATGATACATATTCTCGTCAGACATACCTCAAAACTAGATTGTACAACCAGTGCGTGTTGCCAGTGATGACCTATGGATCTGAGACGTGGTCCTTCACTGCTGACCGTATGAGGAAGGTCGAGGTCGCTCAGCGAGCTATGGAGAGTGCTTTCGGGCCTAAACTTATTCGGGGTTACTATGCGTAATAGACTTAAAAACGAGGATATCCGCAGTAGAACCAGAATAACCGACATATCCCAACGGATTAATAAGCTAAAGTGGACATTTGCCGGCCATATAGCTAGAAGAAACGACAACCGATGGGGGAGAAAGGTTCTCGAGTGGCAGCCTCTAGATGGAGTGACGACCTGCTAAAACATGCAAGAAGTCAATGGATACAGGTGGCTCGGGACCGTGCTTTGTGGCGTTCCTTGGGGGAGGTCTATGTTCAGCAGTAGACTTGTGAAGGGCTGTAATGATAATGATGATCATAATAAGACATGTGAAGTCCGCTAATAAGCATTGGGGCATCGCAGCGATCTCTAACAAGTCGGGTGAATTACAAAGGTTCATAATATGTGCTTACAGTGGTTGTGTGTGTGATTGTATTTAATATATAAATCATATTTTTTGTCTCCATTTTGATTAATTTTAGGCCCGAAAGCACAACGAACGCGAACAGCAAGCAATATCTCGAGGCTATAACCAAACACGTGTACGACAATCTCAAGATGTGCCAGCATTCGCCCGCCGTACAGATGACGCATATACCAGGTATATCTTTAAACGCACGACGGTCTTGTCCTTGCAAGTAGGTAAAGAAAATTAATTAGAAAAGATCTGGGGGAAAAATAGAATGGCACCAGGTATATCTTTAAACGATCTCCTTTGAATGCACGACGGTCTTGTCCTTGCAAGTAGGTAAAGAAAATTAATTAGAAAAGATCTGGGGGAAAAATAGAATGGCACCAGGTATATCTTTAAACGATCTCCTTTGAATGCACGACGGTCTTGTCCTTGCAATTAGGTAAAGAAAATTAATTAGAACAGATCTGGGGGAAAAATAAAATGGCACCAGGTATATCTTTAAACAATGTCCTTTGAACGCACGACGGTCTTGTCCTTGCAAGTAGGTAAAGAAAATGATTTAGAAAAAGATCTGGGGGAAAAAATAAAATGGCACCAGGTATATCTTTAAAAAAATCTTTAAACGCACGACGGTCTTGTCCTTGCAAGTAGGTAAAGAAAATTAATTAGAAAAGATCTGGGGGAAAAATAGAATGGCACCAGGTATATCTTTAAACGATCTCCTTTGAACGCACGGCGGTCTTGTCCTTGCAAGTAGGTAAAGAAAATTAATTAGAACAGATCTGGGGAAAAATAAAATGGCACCAGGAAATAAAGGATCTAAACAAAAATTTTGCCAATTGAAAATGTGATTCAGTAACATACCTTTCATATTATCGGGAAATATTATAATATCGCTTATTATTAATGACAGCACTATACTGTTATTTACATCTATTGTGTGAGCGTGGTCTTCATCCCGGTCGATCCGACCATCTACAATCGTTTTCTTTTTTAATTTAAGTGATAAACTAACTAACAGTCCACCTGTTGGTCTTTCATACTTTAAAAAAAAACGTTACCCCCACACTAGGATTTTCTCCTGTGTCGTGGAGGCAGTTTATAAACATAAATTGCACGAGGACAAACATCCAGACCCGGAACAATTATTTGTGGGCCATACAAATACTTGTTCCGTGCGGGATTCGAACCCGCGGCCCCCAGCGCAACAACTCATTGCTAAGCCACTGCGCCACGGAGCTGTCAAATGTATGTCTATTGTAGCCTTACTGTAATCTCTGAGGACTGAGGTGGAATCCCTCACAGTCTGTAGTTATAATGGTTCTCTATATCGTCCAGACTAGAACACAATAGAGCAAGCACTGCTATTTTGCCGGTCTATAACAGGCACGGGTTGTTGATGTTGAATCTCACGTTATATTCTGCATATTTCAGGTGATTTCTTTCCAGAGGAAGATAGAATTAAAGAGGAACCGGATCCCGATGTAAGGGTGAGTCAAGAGGAAGCCGATAAGATGGTCGAGCCGAAGAACGAGTTCTACGAAGACGATAAAGATAATGAGAAGGAAACGGTAACCGAGATGAAGGAACCATAGCATACGACCGATTTGACTGATCCCTTAATCATTTGACATGGCAAGGGGTATAAGAGGTATAGAAATAATTTTATGTAACCTCTTCATTTTTGTATGGTTATAGGGTTATTGTTAGGTTAAACTGTTACAGAAGTGAAATAATACAATTTATCAATAAATCTGAAATATGGTCCATGGTCTAAATATAGTGTCATAAATAGTGATATTTATAGCTCATAAATGAAGGTTAGAAACATGTGAAAATGCGACTGATGGTTTTACAATCTATTTTCTTCTATATCTTTCTGTCTTAGTTTAAAAAAAAATAAGGAACTTAACATTTTCTGTATGTAAGTTTATACATGCTTTTATAAACTAGCTAGATACTGCTCGCTGCTCCGTCCGCATGGAAATAGAAACTTTTACATGTTCATCATATACTCACATATACCGCGGTAACGTTTATATCCCGTGGCCTATTTTCTGCAGTAGACTAATGAATGCACTGTCTGCACTGGTCTCTTGTTGTAGGGAGCATTTGCTTTGATCATCATACTTGGCAGGCATCTTTGGCGCTGCTACTTGTCGCTGTGTGGGTATTTCACGGAAGAAATGATTTTTCTTACCATCTAGGGCTTCATCACCACTTACCCACACTTACTTATATTATACGTGGTAGAGCCATGCTGCAGCTATATTAGTAGTATAGTTGTAGCACGAATGGGTCGGCTCGACCGGGGAAGGACCACGCTCTCACAGAATACCAGCGTAAAATGGCAGCTTGATACTGCTGTGTTTCGTATGGTGAGGGTAGAGAACCAGAGACCCATTTTACTGGAAAAGAGGCATTCCATCTTAGTACTCACGAGTGACGACGCATCTGCATTTTGGTTCTTTATTGAGAATAAATGTAGATGTCTATGGGCCACAGCAACCACTTAACATCAGGTTGACTGTGTGTTCGTTTGTCAACCTATCCTATAAAAAAAAGTTTATTCATTATTAATATGCCTGTTTTATATATCAAAACAAACATAAACGATAGCTTTGTATAAATATAAAATTTTAATATTGTATTATTTTATTTTGTTCTGTAATGTGTTCCATAAGAGATACTATTTTTGACTATATAATAAACTTGATTATTTAAAATGTAGGTTATAATTCTTAAGCCTAATTACTTAAATATATTTTGTGTTTTATAAACATGAGAGAAAGGATCAGTCAACTCGTTATAGGGTTGTACATAACTGAAGGTATATATTATTTAGATAAATAAATAGAAGACAAAAAACATTTTGACCTAATATCACAAGAAGAGAAATATTACAAGAAATCTTTTTTGTAAACTACACTATAGTGTCTTACGGTTGCTATTGAAATTGATTGTTCACGTGATAATATGTGTATTATATAGGTTGTAATAGAACTTTTTAGAAAACAAAGTGCCGATTTTCCAATTGTAAGATAAGTTTCAATTAATCATCAGATAAAAATTATTCATAGAATTAAATACTTTCCAAACAAATTGAAAAATACTTATATTATATTAATACAATATGTACATAGTTTAATTGATTTTATTTCATATTCTCATTTATTTGATGATGAAAAATCAACTTTATGTTGTCTATTTTTTTTATTAAGTAACTAGCTGACCCGACAGGCGTTGTTCTGCCCTTTCCGATAGATGGCGCTGTGAGTTTCATTCCGATTCGGTCCGGACTTTAGACTGTGTAACCGCTTATTTTCTGTTTTAGGAACAACTTTCTTACGTTATATTGTGAATATGAGCCATTCTGGTCGATATATAAAGAATTTATTATTAATAACTTGACTATCAGCGTCAGCTATCGAATCACCAAAACAGCAGTGATGCTATTTTGCATAGTGGACTCTTTTCACTAATGCTGTGCGAGGCGGCGGAATAAACACCATATATTGACTAGTTGAGTCTAGTCCGCTTAGCCACAACGCCTCTTACTTGTTTTTTTATTTTAATGTATAAAAACCTCTCTTCGCTAAGCCCCTTTTTACCAGAGCTATACTAAGCGGGGGGAAAATGAAATAATCCTACTTATTTCCTCGTGCACCGCTACAGATCTGGTGGAAACGCAACCTTAGCTTACACTATCTGTTTAACTACAAATGTTATAGGTAGGTTTATAAGTGATGTTTATGACGGCATATAGCATTAGCATTGTGGAATGACCAATGCTAAGTTTTTTTATTATGTAAAAGCTTTTAGAAAAATTGACTTCGCAAATATCCGCGTTATAAAATAAAATGATGTGTCTTACCTAGTATGAAGAGCACCTCCCGCCCTCCCTCAATTGCGTGCACTATCCCAACACCACTACACTAGGCAAGACACCACTGACGATAATACACGTGTTTTGCCTCTACACGAGGCATCCTCAGGTGATATAGACACTACGGTGGCTAACCGCTAAGTGAGCGGCGAGCCAAAACAAGTGCCTTTTATATAGACCGATGACGCAACCGCTCTCTACTTAAGGAGCGACCGACTGCGTCATGCGATAAAACATGCGACCAATCACCGCCGGACTTACGCAGCCGTTTGTAAAATTAAAAACAAACCGCCGCGCAACGCCCACCTTCCAACCACGCAACCAATCGCCGATCACCGTGAGGGTGACAAACGACTATATTGCCTATAAGCCTGCTCTCTATTATTAGAGAGCAGGCTTAAAGATATTTAAGAGAGGTGAGTTAGTAACATTTGTTTGTTCATTCAGCAATGCAACGGTACTATTGTTACTTTTTAATATCTCTAATTAGAGATATTAAAAAGTAAATTTTTCTAAAAGCTTTTATATAATGGATTTCCGCAAAGGAACGCCTGATTCTATTAATTATATTTTTTATTATGCTTCCATTTTTCGAAGCTATATTAATTAACCTTTTGACCGCCACGCCAAAAACGCATTACCGTGTCCTGTACGCCAAAGCGAAAAGTAAACAAAAATACCTACGAAACTAATAGTGTTGCCAAGAGTTGATATATCGATAACCCAAAATAACTTGTTTTTTTTTTGTTTTTTATGCAATAAATGACTATAATCTGGTATGTTTTATTTAATCTTATGCTGTCTTCCACTCTTTTTATATATGTATTTGTACATAAATAAAAAGCAAACAATATCAATAAAATAGTAGTAAACCACAGCACTACTCTCCATCGTGATGACGTCACCGTCACGACTGGACGACAACGGCGTAGCTGACCTTCCTTTTTGAAACTTTCTTAGAGATGTAGCCGTGTCGCACGTTGTGTATCGCTTTCGAAATCGATCTAACCAAAATATACAGACATCCAATCAAAATATTTTATGTGTCGAGGGAGGCGTAGGCCAAGTGAAGCACAGAAGAAAAGTTTAACGCTCTTATGACAATGGGGGTTTGATATGACGCTGATGCTGCCAGATGATTTTGAGATTGAGAAAGAAAATCGCACAACACAAAATGAAAAATTGCTCTTCATATTTTAAGTAAAGAAAACACATTTATTATTTTTATATTTTTGTAAAAAAAAAAACGTTACCCCCACACTAGGATTTTCTCCTGTATCGTGGAGGCAATTTACAAACACAAATTGCACACGGACAAACATCCAGACCCGGAACAATTATTTGTAAGCCATACAAATACTTGTTCCGTGCGGGATTCGAACCCGCGGCCCTCAGCCACAAAGCCACTACGCCACGGAGCCGTCATTTGTAACTTTATATTATTAAAATAAAAAAAGGTACATAATTATTCACTAATCAACAATTGTATATAATTATTCGCACTTGGTAAATCGGTCAGAATCGTTCATGTTGCACTGCACTACTTTTCCCGCGAATCACTTATGACGTCATCAGGGTGTCGTCTATCCTTGACCACGGCGCCCAGTAAACTGATTTTCGATGACGCGCTAAGGATGCGCCAGAGTTGAGATATTAGATTTATTATGCGAAGATGATTTGATGATATTTTTTTATTCATGTAGCTAATTATAGTGTTATGTTTCTAACCTTTTGTTTTATTCAAATATAATAATAGAAAAAAATAACACGTTTGAGCTGAATTTTGGCTAGTTTTCAAGAAATCTATGCCTCCCGCGCACGGCACTAGCGGTCAACTATAGACGACTTTGGCGTGCTGGACATAGTATTTGCTTAGATAAAAATCCATTTTTTTTAGTTCAATGTTTCTTAGTACTTGTGGCTCTAGGAGACTTGTTTTTTATACTCACATGTTGCTGGGTTATTCTTTTTTGAAGAGTGTGTAATTAAAATACCAGTAATAATTTTCCAATATCTATGTTTCATTTTTTGTGGGCCGGGTTTTTTGTCAACTATAGACGTCATTGGCGTTCAGGGCCCGCAGATGCTGGTCAAGTATAGGCGACTTTGGCGGTCAAAAGGTTAAATATTTTATTGAGAGAATGGTATCCTAGCAATAGGAAGCACCGACGGAGTTAGATAGCCCTGTTCTGTTTACAACTTTCTTATCATATGATGTGAACGTTTAAAAGAATTGTCTTATGATTAAATTATTTATATGTAAATATAGTTTGAATAAAACATTATCTAAAAATACGAGTTTTTTTTTTTAAATATAATAGTATCATAAATTCATTACAGTGAATATTGACGTCAGTATTCACGAGTATCGTGCAATATTCACCGTCGATGAGATGCAGTCTTACGGCATTAATTGAGACACTGCCGTTTCCACTCCCGTAACAAGTATTCATCAGTCATTGTGGCATTTAATTTAGTCGGTTACATTGGCATTGAATTTAATCAGTCACGTGGCATTGAATTTAGTCAGTCACGAAGCATTTAATATGGTCTGACATCGTGGCATTTAATATAATGTCCTCCAGATCGAATTTCGGCCATAGCGGCCAGCCATCGGCGCAGGATAGGATTGTAGTGCCCAAGTGTATGCGCAAGCACATGTGCACTCTCTATTCCCTCACTGTCATAGTCCGATAAACGGACACGACC